TACAGGTGTCAAGACTATGAATTGCAAGCAAGTCCACAGCCTTACTAGAATGATAACTACTTAGTTTAACTACTTTTAATATTGATGTAGATAGAAAATGCAGGCAACACTCTCAATCTTTGCGAGATGAGAAGATAGCAAGGACAGATCTCTCAGAAGGCTGTTCACGTGGTAAACTGTCATTGAAATGCTGGTTACAAATTATTTAGAGACACATCGGAAATTAAACAATTTTAGAATAGCAAGAAAATGTGGAGAATTAAATTTACAGTTGAAAATTAGTTTCTTTCAAGTGAGCTCTTAAAAAACAGTTTCTGTGTAGTTATATCTCATCCACACTGTGATAGAGTGTCTCCTGACAGGCACGTTTAAGCAATCTTATTTCAGCTGGCCCTCAAAATGCAAGTAAAGGATTATGGTTTATAAAGAGAAAGGACACCAATAATTCTGAAGAGAGTGCAACAGCAAGAAACACATCCCAGAAATACTCCCCCCTCTCCAAATATGCCACTGATCACGTCCACACATGGCAAACCATGCCATTTATATGGGGGAAAAAAGCTTGAACGTTTCAATTCTGTGAATGCTGAGGTCAACGCTGTTGAGTACTCAGAAGCCCATAGCGATATAAAGGAGAAACAAGCTTAAAAGAACTGAAGCCAAGAAATGAAAAGCAAAGCGTCCACTCGGGTCCAAGCCACAAGTAAAGCTACAAATATTAATTTTGATGAATATACTGAACTTTAGGAAATGAAAAGGAAAAAAAAATCAGAGAAATGAAGCTAACAGTGAAGTGACAAAGTTTGCCAGTACCGCTGGGACATTTGGAATAGAAAGAAAAAGTGCTGACTCTGAAGAATTCCAGAAAGACCTTACGAGAGTGAGAGTAAAGGCAGGTGAAAGTCAACCTGACAAATCTATGTTGATGCATTTGAGAAAAAAAATTTCTACCGTCTCTAGCAAGATGACGGGTTCTGAGCCAGCCACCCAGCAGCAAGACCTCGCACCGCAGCAGTTCCCCAGAAGGTGAACAACCAGCCTCATGCTCCGCAGCCAAGGAAAGGGGAGGAAATCAAACCCGGGTATGAGAGCCTCCAGACCCCTCTGCTCGGGGAGGCAACAGGGCAGCAGCGGGAAAGGCTGAGGCAACAGGCCCGAAGCCGTGACCCCGGCCTGCAGAGCCGTGCGAGGCGCGGAGGGGGTGCCCAGGATCCGCCGTCGGCTCCCTCTCCCCACACGCCCACCACGGCAGGCTGGCGGGGAAGGGAGGGGGCTCCGCACTGACAAAAGGCAGCGGGTCTTCCTCGCACAGCCGCGGGGCAGGGGGGG